TCCCCAAACCCACCCCCCCCCACCACCATACACTTCCCCCCCCCCCCCCCCCCCCCCCCCCCCCTTCATCACCCAAAATGTTCATAACAGGCTCCATGTTCCCCTGGCGCCTCAACCGCAAAGCCGCCGCCCTCCGCGCCCGCCAGAACCCTCCACCCGCACCCACATTCACCTACGACCGCAAAGCCCTCACGGCGCTCATAACCCGGCACTACGCCCTCCTCATCTCCACGGGCCACATCCACCCCTCCGCCCTCCGCGAACCCCCCGAACCGTCCGGCTGGTCCGACGCAGACCTCAACGTCCCCGCCCTGCGCCTCCTCGGCCGGTCGGAGACGGTCATCGATTTGCTCAGACATATCCCGTACCCGCAATCCTCCGATGACGATGACTCGGACGACGCGGTGGTTTGTTACTGCACCATGGTCCAATCCTACCTCCGCGCCGACTGGCGCCCGGAGGAGACCTTCCGCGAAGTACCGGACTGGCATGCCAAACCGTTCTGCGATCTGGGCCTGGCCCCCTTCGACGGGGCGATGGCGCCGCATCTGATACAGCTGACGCGCGAGGAGGCCGAGATCGGGACGAGTTGGGTGATTGACACCGAGCGAGGTAAGTTCGCGTCTTCTTGTTGGTGCTTGTGTGTACGTTGTTGAGATTGAAGCATGATTTCAGGATGCATCTACCCGCACGGCGGAGCCTACCTCTCCTACGGCGACGAGCCCCCTGAGGCGGCGGAAGAGAAGCCCTGGCTCCGGGCCAGGGCGGTGTCGTTCGCGGAGTACTTTGACAGGCTGTACGAGGACGTCAAGACGCTGAAGCTCGTGCCGGTGCCGGCGGCCGGGAATTTCGGACATGCCATCTGCGAGGGGAGGGATCCGGAGGCGAAGGTAAGGGAAATTGTCACGGCCGCTTCTCGTGGTGTCTTTGTATCGTGTTGATGTGGTGAACGTAGGCGATCAAGAAGTTGTATCGGGAGTACGGCTGGCCGGGTGCGTTTCGGAAAGAGGAGTTCTTGGTGGCTGCTGTTGAGCTTCGGAGGACTATCTTGGATGATACGTATGACTGGTCGGACGCGGAATGAGGAGCACGTTTAACAGAGTAATTATGATTAATGCCCCGAGACGAACCTTTGGAAGAAGGGCTTCAGAAGGAGGGAGGGAGAACCTCCAGCAGCGCTCCAAAAATTACCACACGCCTACACCAACTCCCTCAACCTCCCGTCCAACCACCCCTTAAACCCAGCAAACATCCCAACGCCCATCCACCCCTCGCAAAACCCTCTCATCACCTCCATCCTCTCCCTCTCCACCTCCCTCCTCCTCCCCTCCTGCTCCCACTTCCCATTCCTGCCCCCCTCCACAACCCCCATCTCGCCCAGCCCAAAGACGAGTTTCGCCTCGCACACGGGGCACAGGTACGGCGGCTGCCTCGCGTCCTCCCCGAGCCCCGCGGTGCCCTGCATCACGCACGCGTAGTACACGCAGTGGTCCATCCCGAAGCAGTGGCCCAGCTCGTGCGCCGCCGTCCTCGCGACCCGCGAGAACCACAGGCCCCTCTGGTCCCCCGCCGTCTTCGGCACGACGACCCTCCTCGCGGCCGCGACGGCGGCGCCCATGGCCGTCCCGGGTGTCTTTTTCAGATCCAGGACCGAGGAGTCATCTGCGCTGCTGCCGGCCGAGGCCGAGGCACCCCGTCCCCGCTTCCTCTTCGTCCCCGTCTCACCACCCCCGGCATTCTCCCGGCAAAACTCCCTCACGAACCCGGCGCAGTGCGAAAGCGGCCACATGTGCCCCACCTCGACCCCGAACGCGGCGTCCAGCACGGGGCGATACCGAAAACTCGACACCGCGGAGATGCGACTGCCCCCGAAGGCCCGCCCGCAGCAGAAGTCGTCGTCCTCGTCCTCGTACATGTCCTGCGCGACGAGCATGACGGCGGCGTACGCGTCCGCGGGCAGCGCCCCCGTCAGCGCGTCGAGGAGGTCGTTGAGGTTGAGCTGCATCCTCGCGATCTCGTCCGGGGACGGCCGCGCGCGGATGCCTACCACCTCCGAGCCGCCCGCCGCGAGGCCGATCATCGACGGGGCCGTCTTCTTGCCCTTCTGGCCGTCGTCGTCGTCCCATTTGACGAACTTGAACGGCGTGGGGAGCAGCTTGACGGGTAGCGGATGGTAGAAAGCCCGCAGATATGCCATGATATCTTCTGTGCTGGGGTGCTCGAGTTTGGGAAATTCCTCGGGGTCGATGAGGTCCTCGACGTCCGGGTCGGCCCAGTTCCGCATGAACGCCGCGCCGTCGTCGATGGTCGGGACGTCCGCGACGTACAGCGTGTTTCTCTCGGGTGTGATTTTATTGCGGTAGCCCCCGTTCGCCCACGATCGCAGGCTCTGCGGGGGGTACTTTGGGCACAGGGCGAGGTCGTCGTCGGGGAGGATGAGAGGGCCGGGAAAAGTGGAGGCGACCGGAGCTGCGGCGGAGTCGCCGGCTCCGGAGACCCTTCCGGCGCGCGTGGTCGCGCCGATGCGCTTCTCGACGGGGATCCTCTCGAAGCCGGCCGCGTTGCGACCGTGTTCCGACGCGTCGACGTAGAGCGTCTGGTGAGCGCACGCTTTCTTCTTTGCGGGAGCCATGTCTGGAGTCGGAACGGTATGAAGAGGGCGTTCGCTGGTGTCCAGTCTACTTGATAAACCGCACTTTCATCTCATCATTCACCGATACTTCGAATGAATGTGCCGTGCCGGCAAAAGAATGAGTCACGGCTGCCTGTTCATCACCAACGAATCTCTTCCCCGTTTGTCCCCAAAAGCGAAAGGCTAGCCCTTGGCGCCCACACAAAACCCCGCTCCCGGCGCTGCTGCCTACGATCCTCCTCCACGAGGCGACTAATTTCAGCCTCAAATTCGAACCGACGTCCTGTCAGCACCATTGGAATCGATTGCGACTCGTGGGAGGATGCGCCGTTCATACACAGCCTGGCCACTAGCTTGCCTCAAAAGACGTGCGGCCCGGAGAATATTCCTCTCCATCATCCAGTAGTCCAAATCAACCGGGTTCGCAACTCGTTGCTCCCTGCTCACCTTCGACGCAACAAAACCAAACAAAACAAGAGCAAAAGTAAACAGGCCGTTCGTTCAAAAAAGCCTCTTGCATCACTCGATCCAAGCGAACGACCAAGGGCCCTGTCGTCCAGCCCTGACACTGCACGTCGCCTCGGGCATCCGCGGACGACTGCTCACTTAGACCGTGTCAGTCCAAAAGAAAGAGGGCAAATTGCCTTACCAGCATTCACGTCTGCAGCCCTGTTCAGATTGACGCCGTCAAGGCTCAGGGCTGTTGTTGCCTCCCTCTCGACGCTCGGTCAGGTCTCGCCCCAAGAGACACTGCTGCACTTGTGCACCTCGCCACCATGCTGCTCCCCGGACCCGACGCGCTTGCGCATAACAAACCGGCATGGCCTCTTCAGACGATCCATCCGTCCGCACACATTGCCTTCTGCTGCCCAGCGGCCGTGAGTCCTGCATTGCCGCATCCGCGAGCGACGGGCCCGGCCGGAGCTCCTCCAACATCACAGCTCATGCCAATTCGTCCTGTGGGATAATTAACCCTCAACCCGAACGGCCTTGCGAGGCATTCACATGCCAATCGCAACTGCAGGGTCAATGACAACAGCTAGCCGCGACGCGTCGGCACCGTCCATCACATCACACCCGTCACTCCCCGACGCGCCCCGGCCCTCCCGCGACCGCCTCTCGATGGCCGGCGAATGGGAGTGGGGCCACACGAAAGACGGGTTCGAAGTCCGACATGTTCGATACCGTGACGACTCCGTGTTCATCAGCTTAGCCCGGAGTTTTGCCATTCTCGACATCCAATCTTGTCCGTCGCGCCTCAAAAAAAGCATCAACGTCGTAAAACTTCGTAAACAAAAAAAACGTCGAAAGTCAACAAACGCCGTTTCCCCGCGTCGTCAAGCAAGGTTCAGGAGTGAAACCAACCACGCGCTGCCCGGAATCCCACCTCCGCCCGCCGCGGCGCACCCAAGCGCTGTGTCCTCGCAGGCGCACCCTCCCTCCCTCCTCGCGGGGGGACGGGTCTACAACAGATGAACCTTCAAGAGGAAGAACGGACGACCATAAAATCCTACTTCCCTCTCGTCTGAAGGCGGGCGCAACTGTCAAGGCTCAGCATCGCAGGGTCTGCTCGTGCTTCGTCCGAACCGTGATGAAGGAGGACCAAGGCATCGAGTAGCACACGTGGTCCAATGGACGGGTGTGATGGGGCGGGAGGGAAGCGCGTGAAAGATGTCTGTCGAGATGGGTCGTCACCCTCGGCAAGCTGTGCGCCTGACATGACGTTGGGCAGTCAGTCCTCTCCGTCCGCGGACTGCGTGCGAGGCCAGAGGACGGCGCGAAGCTATGCGCGTCGCATGCATCACAAGCTTCTGCGATCGAAGGGAACAACCTCTCCGAATAATCGCGACGCCTCACTCGAAGACGAGTCTTCCCTCAATAGCCGGCAGTACAAATCGCATCACCAGCCATCGATTCCCGCGACCAACAGATTAATAAGCCCTGCTTCTCTCCCCCATCAGTGCGCCTCACCCCGAGATTGGTGGGGAGATTGGGCCAGATCGATTCCCGGGGTCTGGTCAATGTCTCACGGCAAGTCCATCGTTTCCGGACCATTTCGGCCGACGACCTTATCGCGGGTTGACGGGCGATCAAGGCCACAGAGCTTTGTGGCGCCGAGCCCTTGCATCACCTCTCGAAGTATTTCGGGACCGAAAAAGTCCTGGCGGGAGTCTGAGCTGCCACGAGGACCTCGGGGGTGTGTGAGATGGAAAGAAGCAGGACACGCGTGCGTACTCGGCAATTCGCGACTTCGCGCAGATCATCTCATCGGAGGCATTGAGACTATTATTTGCAGTATCGACCAACCCAGAGTGTAAGTCAACAGGCCTTCGTGTTCGGCATTGACTTTGACTGTACAGCGCAAAGGCCTAGATCAATGGGAATCGTATTTTTTTTCTGCCGGTTCAACGCGGCGATACCAAGCACGATTGACTTTGAAGGGATGGAATTCGCTTTCCCAGGTACGCCAAGTGGCCTCACATTGAGATATTCGATGCAGGGAGGTCTGGAAAGCGCCTCAAACTCGAAGGAAGATTCTCTGAAATCGAATGTCTATTTGCGGCGAGGTTGCAGCCTGCGTTCTCTTTTTGGAAGTGCCGCGCTGCGTGAACGATGGTGAGGCAAGTTCGGCGCTGGTGCCTCGAACGCCTCATCACATCGTGCGGCGGCGAAGAACAATTCTGCCCCAGGTGGCTGCGCCGCACCATCGCGGATGGCTTGATTCGAAGCAGACCATGGCCATGGCAACGAAGTACATCGATATTCGCTCGAGCGATGTGGCGACAGGACGAATCGTCCCTTTCTGCCCAGGGTCCGAGCTAGCCAACACGACCGCCTTTTGCCGTCTGTAGGCAGGAAGTGAAGAAGACAGCCAAGTGTAAGACAGGCGTGATCATCAACTGTTGTCGCGCCTGCGGGACTCAGGACACTCTAGGGCGGGTGAAAAGTCTTTCAGAAGACAGTTACCATGTGTCATATGGAAGTGGGAGAATGCCAATGTCGTGCGACTTCACCTCATCCGGGTTTCCAATAAAAGCCGGCAAAACCCTCAAACCGCCTCAACGGGAGGCTTGCGACCGGCGCCTTCGTCCTCGTGGTGGCCATTAGTCTCTAGCCCCAAAGATAGCATCAGATCGCCCGCCACAGGGTCATAAACCTCGGGCACCATCGGGACAAGGGGAAAATCTCTTTCTTGACAGCTCTTTTCTGTTGGGAATGGAACACCGAAGTGGCTTGCTGGCGCCTGACGAGGCGACGGGTGATGTGGCTCACGCCGACCAACGACTTCGAGAACTTGGCCCAGGCCGCATGCGGATTTCCCCCGTCGGCGACGATCAACTGTCAAGAATAGCAAGCCTGTGATTTTGCCGCCAGAGTCGAGACCGGTCCGATGGCGATGCGATTATCAGGTCAAGAATTTCACCTCTTCTGAGCAAAGTCCTGTCAGGATATCGTCAGCATCGCTGCTAGCATGGGTCGACGAAGCGCTTGCAACTTCACATGCGAGTAAGCACGGCTGGGAGTACTCAAGGTACGGCGATGCAACCGTGTCGCCAGCAATGGGACCTGGCCCTGCGCAGGATAGCTTCACCAAGCTTCCGCGACGCTCCAACGCGTGGACAGCCTGCGGATGATCCCCGTCTCCCGTCTCTCCCCTCTCGCTTCCGTCTTCTTTGCATTTGCCATTCAGCTCCGGCGAATGGGCTCCGATACCAGCCCTCCATCAGGACAGGGCTAATGCAAGGGACGCAAGACACAAAAAAAAAACTCATCATCTCCAGCTTGGGCAGACAGAAATCGACTCAACAATTGGAAATGCTTGTGACGCTGCACACCCTCTTCAGACGCGATCCTGCACCAGTCAGATGCGAGTTGGCAAATTGGAACCGTAGTCTTCCCGGAGTGGGTGTTGTGCCCTTGTAGACTCGGCCAACTTCTGAGAGGCACACGCAAGCGAATTCTGCCCTTATGCTTGACAGTAACCGAATGGCCAAGGTCGTTCGAGCCTCGGGGAGCCTCAATGGCGAATCAACTTGCGCCGGACGCCGGCCCCGATGACGGAAAACGCTGCGCAACAAGTCGTCACGCACTCGAATCCGGGCACGACTATCAGAAATAGAAGAGTGGAGAGAGGTGTCGGTCCGCAGAAGAAGACTCCATGACTCTTAGGTGATCACATCTCAACAGATCGAAGCGGCCAGATGTCGTCAGATCCAGCTGGGTCACGGGCGCATCTGTACTCCCGATGTCGCTGGGCTATCGTCTTTTTTCGCTGTAGTGTTCTTGATAGGGAAAAATTCAAATCTCGGCATGTCGAGATGCCTGTTCCGCCGCAAGGAAGGATCGAGTTCCCCACTCCGAAGTCCACCGGCTGGCCCAGATGAAGTGGCCTGGGGTAGAAAAGCATCCGATGTGCTACGGCGCAGCAGTCGTAATTTCTCATGGTTGGTAGTTCTTCGCAAAAGACGCCTGAAAAGGCTTCCAGTTGCGTGCTTGGGTGTACGAACTCATCCGCCGTTGGCAGAGCCGATGGGCACTTTCTTGCAGCTTCAGTGTGCATGGCAGTCAGGCTGTCAGCGCGGGGACTTTCCGATCATGCCATGGCACTGAGACAACAAACTTGGCGTGGTAGACCAATACGCGTTCCAAGAAGTCGTGGCGTGTCTGTCTGTATTAGTCTTGCCGGAACATAATAGTAGGCAACTTTTGACGAGGGAGCCTCGAACCATGCCTAAAGAGTATCGCAGCTCAATTGCCAAGTCATCTACCTAGGTTGTTAAGCTTATGCTGGACCAATCGACCATTGGGTGAGAAATTTAGTCCGTGGGCAGTTGTCGATGCATAGCTGTCGTGGCCGGCTCAGCTTAAGTGTCAGCTGGTGAGCGTGAAACCAAAACGATGAGTTTTTGAGACATCAGTCAGACCAATGTGGTTGTCTGGTACGGAGAATTCCCGAAAGCAAAAAGCGTCCCGGTTAAAGTTGACGGCTCTCAGCACCG